CCGTAACATCTTGACAAACCCTACCCATATTACCAATGAGAAAAGCGGAAAGATACCTAGGATGTACAGCGCAAAGCTGTATCCCCTTTCCTGTGCTATCCAGCCTCCCAGCGAATGCGAGATAGATGCACCCGTCTGGCGGGTGATACCGCCGACGACACCAAAAGCTAAGTTAACTCGCCCTGTACCAGCCACCATAACGGCCAGTAGTCCCGGTATCGCGACACCCTGGATACCTGCACCAACACCGTCGAGAATCTGGACGGGCCAGACGCCCCAGCTCTTGATCACCCGGCCGGCGACGGCGGCACGGATAGGCAAGACAGCATAGGATATTAAAATGGCAAACCAGTAGCCGGAGCGTCCAGCGAGCCACGCCGTCAGGAATGACATGATGATCATCGTGCCCTGTGCAATGATAACGGTGAGGCCAGTGGTTCCGGCGGGGTCGCCTTGGCCTGTGGCTACGAGAGCCTGGCCGTATAGGAAGAGAATCGCAGCGTTGCCGAGGTGAAACAGGAATATCGTGATAGCAACGACGCCCAAGGGCTTGTTTTTGAGCAGGATACTGGCTCCCCTGAAACCACTTCTGGAAGGCTTTGATGGATCCCTGTTCTTGAACCTTTTAGTGAACTTGTTCGTGAACTTTTCCTTCTTGCCTTTCGAGCTGGTGTTCATGGGACTTTCGACTGGAGGGCTGATGTCCCTGCCTATTTCTCCATCTACCTCTGCTCTTCCTCTCTCTTGCATGTCTTCTCGATTACCGGTATCATCGGGGGAAGGTCCTCCTCCCCTTGCGGCCCTATGGTCAATCGCTCGCTCTGGCAGTAGAAATACGACGCCGATTGTCGCTGCGCAAAATGCCATGACGAGGTAAAAGACTGCCGTCAACCCGAAACGTGATCCAAGAAGCCCAGCCAGACCGGCGCTGACCATATTCCCCGCATGGTTAGCCGCCTGATTTCGCCCGTTCAGAGTGCGGAAGCTATGTTTGCTCTTGTCATCAGAGCAGATGCCCAGGGTGAGAGCAACGAGCAGCGGAACCATGCTCGTGCCGGCGACGGCGGACACAATCTGCGTGAGGAACACGAGAGCAGGATGTGTAGACAGGAGGTTGAGTCCTTGGGATACACCAACAAGGAGGGCGCAGACAGCTACCATCATGCGCTTGTATCTAGGGGGTTCAAGTATCAGTAACCTTGCCACTGTCTAGTTCGATCCTCATGGCATTGCGGTGCATCAGCTAACTCACTTTGTTGCGTCTATCAACGCACCAATGGGCCCGGTAGCCAGAATGGTAGCCACGCCGCTCACTGTCTGAACTGACCCGCGCAACCCGGGAGCCCACCCGTGTTCTTGGAGATAAACTCCGAGGAAGGGACCAAGACCGTCTGAAACGTCACCCATGAAGAACGCCATCACGAAAAGAGCCCATCGAGCCCATCTCTTCAGCTTCGCATCAGCCTCACTTGTCGGAGTTGCATTTCCTGGCATATCTGCATCGTTAACAGGAACGTCAACGATGGTAGGCGGCGCCGACACGGATGAGGTAACCGGGCTGCCCTTCTTGCTGTCGACCTCCGGGCTTGGCTCAGCTGGATGCAGGGACTCCAGGCTGATGGCGTTGCGCGGGTAGGTCTGATTGTCCTTGGCGTCCATTGTCTTGTGCAGCGTAGGATGAGGGAACACACTTCCATGGCCGTGGGATGTTGGACGGGCCGTTCGCTATAAGAGGCACGGCCCCTCGTCCATCAGAACAACGGGAGCAAGACTGACATTGACAGGCCGTTCCTACGTCACTATCCCTACATGCCGATTTGAAACGGTGCCAAATATAGCCACTTGTATGAACTCTTTTTTTCCGAACTCACCTGGGGCTGTCTTCGTTTTGGCATACTTCGTGTGTCGGTGCAGATAAGGTTGGTATACACGTCCGTTTTGAAACGTGCATACACACAAAACAACCAGTCCGTGGCCCAGGTGCCGCCGATTTACCCGCCTTGAGTTCTCTAAACTTGGGACGAGCGGGGGCCATCGCCATCAGAGGGAAATTTTGAAAGAGCGAAGTAATTGGTATTTAGTTGTGGGTGGTGTTTCCTCCGCCAACTACGTTTACACTGCTGGTGTAGGTGTCCTGCTTGGAAGACCGCTTGCCTTCATGACCACTTCATCTCATAATCCCAATATTCCACTTGGCCCTTGGCAACACCCTCATAAAGGAAAAGGAGCCATTCGGGTTGTTATTGCATCATAACATCACTTGGATTTGCTATCGCCACTGCTCTGAGTGCTCGTTCTCGTTCTCTGAGTGACGTCTGCACCTCTTCTGGCCAGAAGCTGTCTCGAAGCCTTAAAGCTTGGCGATTTTGTCCTTACATGAAAGCTGTACTGTTGGAATTTCTCCTTCTCTCGCTTTTGGACTCAATCGCTTGGCCAGGTGAGCATGCTTCTTGGTATTTGAGTACTTTAATTCTGACGCAAAGGAGCCGTGGCAGTTATCTGACTAAGCCCCGGGCTGAAGACAAGGCATGGTTGGATTGACTGATCACGCCTCCAAGCTTTACAAGACGCTGTTCACCGCAGAGGCCTCAAGGCTTGTTCAGATTTAAGCTATGGGATTCAAGGCCACGAACACGCTATTCCAGGGGAGGTCCCTGTCCAAATTGACGTTAGGTGGGCAACCAAGATCCTTTTATGGGTATCTTTTCGGGATATTACTTCAAGATCAACAAACTCAAGCTAGGCCGAATAACTCTCCCAATGAAGCAATAAAACTTCGGCTCGTAAAGGTTCGTCACAATTTCAGAACCCGTCCAACTGTGCTGCTTCATCGTATTCCGTTATCTCCGAGGTCGTTCTGCGCCACTCTCGGCGGTTACAGAACTGAGTGTGTGAACTGTTTCTACTCTTGCGGCATGCTCCATCCCGCCAGTGACATATGGGTCGGTGATGTTGGGGTAAAGAATGGCGATGGTTGACATATTGAGCCAGCCGGGGAGGTCTGGTTTATCAGCACATGGTGTGTGGTATCCACATGAGATGTTCACGTCTGAATGACCATCGGGCTGGACACGCGATCGGTCGTCACAAGCGACGTGTGAAATGAAACCATAAGATTTAATCGCCAAGCCTAAGGTAGTGTATGCTCTAGAAAGGTACGGCGAAAGGGTGCGATACTGAGAACATTCCTGCCAGCCACTTTTGGTATACTTGGACCTTCTATTCGACGTAATACAGGAGACTATATTTTGTAGTTCCCAATTACTTCCCCACCATACTCGCATGCGCTTCTTCGCCTCAGCACTCTTTTCAGAGTGACATTTTGCCTTTTAGGCCACGTGAGTTCGCCGGTAGAGACCGCAAATTCACGGACAGGCTATCAGGGCCATTAGTGGCGTGCCCGGGGCAGATCTAACGCTGCGGGCCGTCCACAACGGTGCTGCGGGTCTGTCTCAATCAAAGTGGCGTTTACGGCACTGGCGATAACTGGGGCTGATCATTGCATGGAAGCATCTACTTGCCGCATGAGATATACTCTCGTAAAGATCAGGATGACGTTGTCTGGAGTTGCAGTGATTGAGAAACTCAAGAGAGAGGGTTTTTTTTATTTCACGAAGATGGGTTCGATTGACGTTGTGCGTACTTTGCTTCTTTCGCGCTTGACGTTCCACTCCCGCGTGTAAGAGCTGCCGTGGCTGCTGCTCGGCTCATGACATTGTCACCTTGACGGCTGCTAGTAGCTAGAGCTCAGAAGTGCAATGAAAAGTTAATAAACTGAGTTTTCCGAAGTGTTCCCTGAGGCAGTCTCTGTATCTAATCCATTTTTCCCCCTCCCGAAGAGCAAGCGATCTGTTCACAAGGACACGATTCCTGCAAAGTCCGTTCTTTTAGTTGTCCTGGCCTTCAACGGCGCTGTCGTAGTCATGACAGAAAGATCATTTCCTCAATTCTCGAAGTTTCCGATAGAGATCAAACTCTTGGTCTGGGAACAGTTCTACCTCGAACCTCGTCACTTCATGATCAAAGAGTATCAGTGGAACAATGGCGACAAAAGAGGGCTGCCTAGCAAGTCGGATACCCGTTGGTCAACTTGGACCTTCAACACGTTGACATGGTGTTTCCACGCAGCAAGTTCCTCGAGCAAACACTACAACGACATCGACACTACCATCGATAGAGTGTCCAGCTCTGTGGCCTCACGTCTTCGCCCCCGGTTCTGGCTCCCCACATGGTCCTTATTCCACGAATATAATCATCTAGAATATTATGATAAGAATTGCTGCACATGGTCCTCGGTACCTTCACGTGGTGCCCTTGTCCCATGGATGAATCAGCACAGAATCCCAGCCGACCCTCGCATCAACTGGAACACGGATGTCATTCACTTCGCATTCGATCCTCAACTTTGTTTTCCGCACCAGTTTGATTGGTTCGCCAATATCCAGAATGTTGTGACAGGCGCAATCTGGAATCGTACGGCCCCAATTTGCGGACGTCACAATTGGGTTGTGGAAGACATGTCGACATGGGATGGTCACAGCAGGCTCGAGAAGCTCAATGAACGCAGGTGGTTTTTGTACCATCTGTCCGAAATCATAACAACCTGGGTTCTGGACCAAACATGCCATACGGGACCCAACTCGTGCGTCTGGTGGTGCAGCACGCCGGTACATACATATCCTCCTAGATGGCCGTGTTTCGTCCGGAGGTCGGATTGTGGTCAACTGCTGGTACTCAAAGTCACTCCAGAATGCTACGTCTTGTCGGAGAGGGACATCACGAAGAAAATACTTTTGCGTGGTAGAAGACGAAGTGGAATCCACCTGGAAGATGTTCAGTGAGCTCTAGATTCTATCAGTAGTTCATATCTATCTATGAAAGTGTGTTGTATGGTTTTGTCTATCCTTGTTGTCTTTTCCTTTCCGCATATCTACAATCTTCCGATGTAAATCAAGCCTTCACCGCTCTATCTTAGCGCGAGACGCAAATCTGCCAGCAGTTCAGTTCTTGCTTTTGGCATTCTCCTCATCTGCCACCTCCTTAGCCATCATCCTCTCGGCTCTCCACTGCTGGCCCCAGTTCCAATGAATCACAGCTAACGGCGTCACGGATACCGTGATCAGCGCTAAGCCTAGAAACGTCGGTCCAACTCCCGCAAGAGCGATCATTTGCTCAACAAAGGCAACGCCCACGGCACCCAAGCTACAGCGAACCAAATTGTTGATAGCAGTGGCACTCGCGCCCTTGCCTGGGCAGAGGTCTGATACCAAGGTCTGGTTCAGAGCGAAGACAGCGTTGCTGGTAGCTGCAATAAAAATTGCAACACTAGCGGAACTGCGATCCAGCCAGCGAGGCTCGTGATCGAGGGGTACGCCATGCTGAAGCCGTAACCAGCTGTTGTAATAACGAAGATTACCACAGCCCAAGGAAGTCTTCGTAACCGTGCTCGTTCAATGGGGAAGTCTGCCGGCACATCCTTCGATGATAGCTTCTTCTTGGATGGCTCGTTTCGAGCTGACTTGTATGCCGCTTCGGCCGCAGCAAAGTCCTTGTTCATCAGTTTACCAACGATTGTTGATCCAACAATAGTTCCGAGGCCTGCGTGAGGGATGGTGAGTACTTATTAGGGACTTTTACAAAGACGAATAGACTTACCATTGGGCAGGTAGCAGAGTCCGATTTGGAGCTCGTTCAGGCCAAAGCTTTCCTTGAAGATACCCGTAGTACTGGATGTCACCATACTCCAAATGGCGTAGATGATGCCGCCGAAAACGAGGTTGATAAGAATGTCCTTTTGGATCAAGAGCCTTAGAGGCTCGACGAATGTCATGAAAGTTACCTTCTTTCGCGGCGAAGACTTCACCGAGCCCTGTTCAACGTATTCGGGATCTCCGCGAATGTATCGGGCGAGGGGTCTGTACATTCCATCGAGTCGAATACTACCATTGCCGGCAATACTGCGCATAGTCTCGGGAAGGAACGTAATGATGACGGCGAGAGTGATGGTTGAGATGATGAGGAGAAACACGAAAATTGAACGAAAGCCAAAGTAGTTGGATAGTAATCCGCCGAGGACGGGGCCGACGGCTATGCTAAAATTTCGAACTGCGTCACATCCATGAGTAATGATAAAGAGCCAGCTCAAGGAAGATAGTATTCTTACTCGCTTGGTAAAAGCTGATGAAACCTCCTCTTTCGGAAGAGGGAGAGATATCCTGAATGACGCCATTTCCTATGTAGTGTATTAGTGCCCGAAGACTCGATGACTTATACTTTCTTTCTGCATCGCATACCAATACTGACTGTCGAAGCACTTCCTGCTGCCTGAAGGCCCCTGAAGATCAACAGGATTGCAAAGCTGGGAGAGAAACTCAAAGCAATGTTGGCAACAATGTAGACAGCGAATGAAGCGATGTAAATGGGTCGTCGGCCGAGAACATCAGATATGGATCCCCAAAGCAATGGAGATATGCCTTGGATGATCAGGTACGATGTGATGGTAAGAGATACCATGTTCAAGCTAACTTTCAGATCCTGGAGTAAAGACTAATTAGCTGAAGCCGTTTTCATGTCACCTCTCCAACGCACCTGAGCAATAGCGTCCAGAGACGGGAAGTATATGTTCGACGAAAGACCAGAGAATAAGCCAGCGGCCCCGATGATCACAATAACCATCCATTTTTCATTTTTCGAAAAGACGTGATAGGGGGGATCGGACGATGGGCGAGGTGTTGATGCGCCAGACGAATCGTAGTCGTAGAGCTTCTCTGGCCGGTTGCTGGAAGACATGTACACCAAGGGTAGCGGCGGTAGGGACTTGTGACGGTTCTGGGCTCGCGGAAAGAGGTCGTATCTGCTGTTATCGCCGGGGATGTATGAGTCTTCCCGGAAGACAACACCATCGGATTTGCCAGGTCTATGGCCCAAGTCCTGCGCCAGGCGGCCTTGGGCGTTGGAGTTCTTCGAAGCTTCACCAGCCACATTGTCGGTCATCTCCATGTACTCGCTCGGGTATCGAAGGAGCGCCATGGCAGTCTAAGGTCAGATTTCTAAGGAGGAGCATGAACAAAAGACAGAAGCAGAAATTCAGAAAACAAGCACAAACTTTTACGTGAAAGAAGAACGAAGCGTAACGATCGAGGATATCTTGAGACAGGATGTCGAATTCATATCAACAGCCCCCTTAATATGGCGTCTTAAACCTCCTTAACGCCGATGAAGATAAGTAACCGTTCCATTCTTACAAGCTTTCACGGAGCACGGGCATCGGGTGGGCCAACGTAGTAGCGTAGCAGCCACGCAAGTCTTCAGCCGCTTCAACGGACCGGCGCCGTATTTACCAGGGATGGCTGGGTCCCACCCGCGGCCTCCGTGGGTCTGCTGGGGAGTCTCGGTTGCCTTAATCGGAAACGGGTAGGTCTATCTGGTCTAACAGGTCTCAGCGAATATTCTCTCGTGTTGCAGGTTGCACGCGCCATTGGTCGGCACCGTATCTTCGCTTGTGACGACCCAGAGGCTGAGCGTGTGCAATCATGCTCAGTGGAGAGTCTTGTTAAACAAGCTCATATCTTTCCTTGTTGTCCGGGCCCCGAAAGGTCCCGCTGGCTGCAACTACCGGCCTGCCCCCATCCTCCCGGTATCTCAAGATCGTTTCGATCACCGCCGAGCCCCGTCTTGGCGCCTGAATCCCCTCATACGTTGATTGGGCTTGATGGATCATGAAGTCTTGGCTTGACATCGGGATCTGAAAGTCGAGATAATGTGGATTTTCTTGAGGGGTACTTAAACCGTAAGAGTCGGCGCCGGCACGTCATTCAAATGTGGAGGACAAGGCAAGAACATCACCGGTTTCTGATCCGCCTCAACATCTCAGAATTCCACGGTTTCCACTCCGTTTCCCACACCCGTTGAAAAACTTCCGACCAGTCTAGCCAATGGATAGGCGCTCAGCATATGTACCCAGCACGGGTGTTGTGCTAGTGGTGATATTGGGCAGTGTTGGTAAAATATCCCCCCTGGCCAGCTCATTTGCAAGACTACTGTTTCTGATTACCCTTGAAAACAGCGGGAGCGTCGATCCTTGCGGGAGCCTTCATGTTGTGGCGGAAACGGATGGCAGGGAGACACAACAGGTAGGCGCGTAATCTATTCACTCCATTGAACACATCATATCCGTGGCAGTGCTGACCCTGGTACGATGGTAAACAGACACCCCTGAGATAGCGAGAGAAATATACTTGATGTGTCAGTTTGGACGGTTGTCAGCGAACCAAGAGCTTGCTCAAGATGGAAGCGGATCAGGGAGACACCTTGCATATGTAGAGAAGCCGCGCAATATAAGTCTCCGGCCTACGGCTCATCATTCTCAACATCATGGAACAGTACGTCGTGGTGGAGTTAAGCATGAATCCCTCACAAACGGGATGCTAAGAGCATGCTCCGTTTTGGGGGGTAAGTTTTCGAGCGGGTCCAATGGGAGCCACACCCCAGCCGGGGCAACCTAAATCGCTACTTAGATAAGCTGTTGTGACAGAGCTCCATATTCCGAGACGAACGACCCCAAGTGGTCCCGGGCGATCACTATCCCTCACAGATCACTTGAATGTCTGGCAGCAATGTGGGTATCGGCGCATTCAAGACCTCTGTACATTCAGATGCATCCTCCTAGACTGAAAACGAGCTCGGTGAGACTTATGATGTGTCAAGTGAAAGATCCCAGTCTTTGTGTATAAACATGCGGCGGTGCGGCGAATACGGGCGTAGATCGCCGTCCACCGTCCCACTACTTGATGTCAAGGTGCGTTGGTTCAGGTTCCCAATCGCTTATAGCCGTTGCCAAGAAATAATTGACAATACCGTTTCTTGGCGTGGGCACATGAAGGTTTTGACGGTTAGATGGACGGGGGAGTTGTCCACGAGAGTTTGACGCATCAGAAAATTGCTTATCGTAAGTAGGTCTGTGTCTCCCGATCGACAGTCTTCGGAATCTTAGTATCCAGGCTTGGAGATCCTCACTTATTATTCCTCCTCGAACATATCTTAGTCTTATTATAGCATCATTTCAAGGGAAGGGCCTTGCACCTTCACCTCGCAATAGTGAAGCCCACCTAGACATCCGACGACCGTAGGACACGGGTGGGATGAACAGCTTTCACACATGCAAGGGCGGTAGTAGCGCTTGACTCGAAACCCAGAGGCAATCCGAAAAGAAAATTCTATCAGTCGGCACAGCCGGGGCATGGATCGTGTCACGGAACCTTTGTAAGAGGGACAGTGCGTGGACTTTGAGAAGCGGATCAGGGTGTAAGTCGGACGTAAGAGAATCACATCGCCCAAGTTGCGTATGAAAGCCTCATCCCATGACTTTTTCACGTGTCACTGTACGCTCCCATGAAGTATTGAACGTGGATATCTGCAGAATCTGAGCCTATCCCGTCTGAACACTAAAGATGAACTAACATCTATGAGGTGCCGATGACAGATGCGGAAGGTTCCAACAATGATCTCATCTAGAGCTCCATGTGGCAAACGATAGAAGCCATCGAGATCTTCCTTCCTATCTGAGGAGAGTGAGAGATCATAAACGTTGGCGAGGTTACAGCACAGGTCTAGTCAATGTCGGCTGCAAGATCTTCAGGGGCTTTTCATCGTCGAGACCATGAGTGCAGACCAGCCAAGAGATGTACGAGGAAAGGCAACGTGCCTTCCCAAGTGTCACTTATGCTGCTTCCACCCGTCTTGGTAACAAGAAAAGTTTGACGTGCAGCTTTCAAGTTGTGACGGTTTGATTCGGACTGGAGCGATGTTGTAGTTGGACGTTAAGGAAAGGCAGGGCAGCGAGGGCTCGGTGGTCCGCAGGAGCACAAAAACGCAGGAGCTTCAACCCCCTGAAAATTGGAAATTTGACATAGAAAGACGTGAGTAAATCAAGCAGCACAGTCCGAATGATACAAAATTACAGCCCAGCTACAGGTGTTTACCACGACCTCTGCGTCGTGGAGCAATGTTTTCCCTTCTCCCATCAAAAGGACCAGTAGAAGTGCCAATGCAAGATTCATTCGACAGGGCTCATCGCCAGTGGCTAAATCTACTAACAGCACGTGTTGGAGAATTACGTTTGCGAATCCAAGTGATCTCCCTCTGTTGCGTAGTCTGTTATGTTGTGGGCAGCAAACTCGGCTTAGCTCGGCGATATCCATGTACCGCCGAGGTCTCCGAGGGCGACACGATGGTATCAGACCCGTACGGGGGCCTATACAAGACCGTGCTGATACTGAAATCTCCCTTCATCCCTTTTGGCTTTATCTAGACCCGGTCACAATTTCGTTTTAGTTATTTTCGTCTTGTGTTTCCATGGGTCCACGTCGAAGGGAGCTTCAGCGTAGCCTCATCCGAGCCGAAAGAAAGCTCGCCCTGCTTGATGAAACAGTCATGAATGCCAATTCCCGATAAGGCCTAAATCCTAGCTCGGTTATGAAGCCTCGTGTGCTCTTGGGCAGAAATGGGGCGGTTCTGGATGCCAAGTGCGCTGTAACTTGACGTGACAGGTAGACAGCTACAGTCGCTGGCATCGCATACTTCAGGTCCCAACTTCTCAGCATCATTGTCCGAGCAACTCTGCGTATTCTCCGTATTCGTCCGGAATGACTCGCCATTGATAATATGTCCATGATCACATATATTACCAGTCCTGTGGTTTGACAGGATGCTGCTCATCTACGACAGCAAGGTCCGACCTGGAGTGCCAGCTCAAGTCTAGCCTCCGAACACCAACTATTTCTTGGCCAGGACTCGGAATTGCTGCCCACGAACGCCGTAAATGTACTACAACAAGGCACGTGAGCTTCCAGTACCGCTTCTATTGTTATTGATGAGGATCTACAGCATCTACTCGGAAATGCTGGGTGCGCTGCGACTACTGACTGTACGAGCGTATGAGACGAAACAAGGCCAACCATGATGCCAGTGATGTCCGGCAAGCCTGTTCTGTAAATACTCGAGCGTCGATCTTCGAACTTGACAGCCGAAACTACGCCGAGTCAAACTTACGCGGCGTCTTGGTCAAGCCCGCACTCCGTGACCCTTGGAGCCTTCTACACCGGCAGAGACCCAATCCGACGGCTTCGAGACCAAGTGACACAAGTGGGTAGATTTCTAATTCGATCACGACCAGTATCATTAACGATCCAAATGTCGCTTGGTGTGGAACAAGGAGAAGGCGCAGCCAGCTTTGTGCCGCCATTTCTAGCGGCCTTCGGGGACGATGTCTCTGGCGTGGGGGTGTAGCTGGAGAGGTTGGCAGCTCGCCCGAGCGCTGTGCCCCAGATTGCAAGTCGGCTACGATTTCCGAAGCTATGGGAAGTAAGGGGCTTGGAGGCTTGGTGAGCTTATCCCCCCGCGTTTACCCATCCTATCCGGTCTGGCTCCAACCGGCGTAATCCCATTTATCCTGTACACCATTCGCTCATGACCTCGGCGTTCTGAAGGCTCTCGCCAATGTGGCGTCGACGCGTCAACAATGTCTTCATTGATATGCCAGGAGCTTTTTAGTTGATACTGCAATTTCTCGCATTCGCTAGAAAGCGCACTTAAATACTCACCCATCGCCGCTTGCTGTCCCCCCTTTCAAACGCAAGTGAGCAACCTCTCTCTCACCGCGCACCGCCGATTCCACATGCGCAAGCAGCTTTCCCCGGGAGTCACAAATTCCACAATCACATCACAATCGAAGAAGGCCCTCTGTCGCTTGGCGACTCCTCCTTTACCTACATGAAACCATGAGGTTGTCTTGGGCGGCGAGGTTTCTCATCAGGTACGCGTACATCTGTGGCAGCACTGTCAACATCAGGAGCTTACTTGTACCACCGACATGGGCACACTTTCAACTCGGCGCCGGGTTTCAGGTCGTCTGAGAGAACTGGGCATGTCACGAATGGATGTATTGGAATCGATTGAAAGTCGTCCGTCACAGATGGATGATGGATAACTGGGGCCGGTCTCAACACGGGCTGACGAGGCGGTAAATGATG